TATAAGTGTAGGACACTGTTGTTAAATAGATTAAGTTTACAGGTGACTACCAAGTCAAGCGCAATCTGTGTGAAAAAGGACACAGGGTATCAAGACCTGCCAGCAAAGGACGCGAGAAGAAGCCTCTCCTGACGCTGCTCCCTGCATCTGCCCTATCCCCAGCTTCTCTGAAGCTCTCCACTGCCCCCTTCTTCCACAGGGTGAGTGGCTATAAGAGGAAACATCCCGCAGAGGGAGCAGGCACAGTCCCCAGGTGGAGCGCACCCTCACTGGCCACTTCCCTGCATGACAGCTCCGCCTGGGGTCTGGGCTGTGAGTGCAGAAAATACATGTCAGAACAGGTCCAGGGAAACATGTGGTGGGTGAACCCAAGACTTGGTGATCCTGAGGCCCTCCGAGCCACTGCCCAATGTCCCTGCTCCCCGTGGCCATGTCCAAATCACGCCTACCTTAGAATCCCCTCACCAAGGGCCCTGTGGCCTCTCAAATTCTGCTGCCCCAGCTGCCTTGGCCTCCACAAGGAAAAGGCTTTTTTATTTCTATTTCTCCCTGTGTGTTTACTAAATTTCACCTTATTTCTGGAAAACTATTCAAAAAATAGGGAAAAAAATAGAAAGTTGCAATTACCCCACAGCCCACCACCTAAAAATAACTTAAAAATTTTGTGTGCATGTGAATGCTATTCCAGAGGTTCCCCAAAACTATATGCAGAAGAACAGATTTCTGGAAATAATTATGCAAAATGGCATTTTAATACACAGCTTTTTAAAAAGCAAAAGCCTTAAATTCAGTTTTCACTAAATGAAAAATATGAAAAGGACTAGAAAATTTCAGATGAATTTGTCTTTTGTTTTAGGCAGATAACTTTATATTCTATTATTACAAAAGACTACAAACATATGGAAAAGCAGAGTGAACAATAAAATTACCTTACTGTCCACTTTTAACAAATCTGGGCGTGTGCCTGGGTTGAGAAGTTTTCCTTTCTTTCTTTTTTTCAGTGAAAATGTTAATGTAGAAATAATTCATTAACAGGACTATACCTATAGGCCTGACTTCCCAACTAGTCAAATTCTGTTCCTGGATGCTGGACACTGGGCTCTCCCGCCTTATGTTATAAGTATGTTGTCTATTGCAACTTCCCGCCCCACACCTCCACAGTCAAACCAGTGCTTAAGTCAGACACCAGGCCCCACAAGCATTTTACATTCGTAGTCTTGTACGCTCACCCTTATCTAGAAAGTCTGCCCTGTTATTGCCTCTGCTCTGGGGAAAAGAGAGCTCGGAGAGCAAAACAACCAGTTCAGGTGTAAATGGCAGAGCTGGGATACAAATTCAGGTCTGTCAGACATCAGAGCCTGGGTGCTAGAGCTAATTTCTAAATGGATTTTGGGCTGTACGTATACTGTCCAGGTACTTAAGCTGACAAGGAACAAAAACTCTGGATGAAAGATTTCTTCTTCTGGTGACATCAGAGCTCCACTATCCCCAAGCAAAGTGAGAGGAAATTTCTGTCCAGAACATCATCTCCCTGGGTTTCCTGCAAGAAAAGTTTGTTTGGGAGTCCTGTCCTCTCCCTACCAGGGCAGGCACTGAGACTGAGTAGAGCATCGTTCAAAAGATGATAGGACCTGAGCATGGCTGGACCACCCTTGCTGATGGTTCCAGAATCCCAGTGAATTTTAGCTATTAGCTACAAATGAGGGTATTTTTAAAAAGTTGGACATTCAAAATGATCCCTTTGGGGGATCATTTTGCAGTAATGACTGAGATTTAAAACCAACAGTAAGTATGTATTTCCTGAGAGCTTGGAGCTCAAAGCCAGCCTGATGGTCCCAGCCACCAGCTCCAAGGGCACAGAGGCAGTGAGATGAGCCAGTCTGACACCATGTACACTGGGACCCCTGCACCCGCCACCTCCAGCTACAGTCTCCCTCCCTCAGTCCTCAGGCACCAAAGGACCCATGTGCGAATTCTATCCGTCAGGGTGCAAACAGGAGACAGAAATCACATCGGTAATTTGAACAGGAAAGTGTAACATAGACGTGTATTAACTAGTAAAAGAGATTCACTACTGAGAAGGGATAAAAGAACTCTAAAGAATACTGTAGGGCTAAGGAGGAGCTCCAAGAAAGGAGCCAACTTGGCTGGGACTCAGAGCTCAGGGAGAGGGTGTCCATGGGGTTTTCTGAGCCACTTCTGGTACATAGCCTGAGCCAAGGCTGTGAGCAGGAAGCCTCTCCACGGTGTCAGCAAACCTTGGTGGGAGGTAAGAGCCCGTGGATGCCACACACACTACTGGCAACCATGCCACAGGAGCCAGAAAGGGGGAAACAGCTGTAACCAAGCAAGAATAGAAGCCTTTGCCTTCTACAATGTCTCTCCAGAACCTTCTATTGACAAATCTAACAACAACAACAAAATGTTTCCAATGTCCAGCTCCAGCATCACAAAGCAGGGCAGAGAAGCGTGGATTTGGAGTTGGGAAGCAATAAATGGGCACCTAGCTGTGGCACTGTTACAACAGCCCCAGACTGGAAATAACCCTCGTGCTCACCTACAAAAAACGGTAAGTAAGCAAAATGTGGTAGACACACACAAAGGAATAGGACACTGCAGTAAACATGAGTGAATTCTAGCCACACACGATCACATGGCCGAACCTCAGAAACATAAAGTTGAGTGGAAAAAGAAGTTGCAATAGACAACATACTTATAAAGCTTAAAAACCAGTAAAACAACATGATACGTTGTTTAGTGATACATTTAGACATAGAGGAGCTATTTTTAAATGAGCAAAATAATGGAAAAAAAAAAAAATAGCCAGGAGAGTAGTTACCTCTGGGAGTGAGAATGATATAGGACAGGGGAGAAGCCCACAGTAGTTTCTAATATATTGGTAATATTCTAGTTCTTATATTGACGGCAAGTTCACGGGCATTCATTTGATCACTATGCCTCATAATTTACATGAACCTAACAGTTGTTATATATGTACCTCTGTACATGTCAGATATTGCTTCATAAAGTACAAGGAATCAAATTGTATGAGATGGGTTGGGAGTTACCTGGTCTCACAACAGCTTCTGTTCAAAAGGCCTGGAGATCTTAACTGACACAGCTCCATATGAGCCAGCATGTGCCAGGCTGTTGGCAAAACAAATGTAAACCTTGCAGAAACATAAACAAAGTGCCCAGGACAAAGGAAGCTGTGCTCCTCCCTCACTCTGTGAGGATCAGATTACATTGGGCTATCTGTCCCCAGTCCTGAGGGACCTTCCAGGAACACAGACCATCTGGAGCACTTTCCAGTAATACACGAATGGCTTTCTTACAGCATGAAGACCAGATTTAGCCCAGGTAGTTCACAACCTGGAGCAATGGCAGGAGAAGGTGGAAGGTACTGGATCTTGGCTCAGTTAAAAGAACCACGTGTACAAATGAAAATAACAAATGTTGGTGAGGATGTGAAGAAAATGTAATCCTTGTTTCTTGCTGGTGGGAATGTAAAATGGTGCAGCCACTGTGGAAAATGGTACAGCATTTCCTCAAAAAATTAAACATACAATTACGATATAATCCAGCAATTCCACTTTGAGGTGTATATCCCAAAGAATTGAAAACGGAGACTCAGATACCTGTACACCAATGTATGTTCATAATAGCATTATTCCCAGTAGCCAAAAGTGAAAGAAACCCAAATAGCTATTGACAAATGAATGAATAAAGAAAATGTGGTCTATATATACAATGAAATGTTATTCGGTCTTAACAAGTAAGGAAATTCTGACCCATGCTAAATTTGGCTGGGACTTGAGGACATTATGCTAGATGAAATAAGCCAGGCACAAAAGAACAAACACTGTATGGTTCTACTTACCTGAGGTACTAGAATAGTCAAATGCATAGAGACACAAAGCAGAATGGTGGTTGCCAGGGGCTAGGTGGAGGGGGTAAGTGGAGGTAGTGTTTAATGGACATAGAGTTCCAATTTGGGAAGACAAAAACGTTCTGGAGATGGATGGTGGTGATGACTGCCCAACAATGTGAATGCACTTAATTCCACAGAACTGTACACTTAAAAAATAGTAAATTTTATGTTATGCAGATCTTACCACAATTTTAAAAAAAGAATTATGTGTACCGACTAGAATGGGCTGTCTTGGCAAGTTCCCTGCTACCGAGAAGGTTCACACAGAGCCTGGGCAATGATCTTGTTGGGAATACTCTAGCTTGGGAGCTCTCATGGTTCTGGCCAAAAGCTCTGTTTGCAGGAACCCAGTGTGGAGTTCAGTTGCAGGGAATGGAATAAAAGCAGGCTCCCTCCATTGCAGAGGGCTCAGCCTCCATATAGGAAAGGTAGATGCGGCTCTCCAGCAGACTGAGCTATACCCAGTCATAGACACCCAGGACACCCAGACCTGGGGAGGAACTGCCTCAGGATGCCTGAGATCCACCTGGAGGAAGGGATGATCTGGAGACTGCCCTCTCCCATTGACACAGGTCCCCCAGGAGTGAAATTAATTTCTTTGGGGTTCAGGCCCAAGCCTCAGGCCCTCACTGTTACCAAGCACACTCCATTTGCATCCATCACCGTGTTGATCTCTGATAGGGTCAGGCCCTTCGGTAAGTCCCAAGGCAGATTACCTGGTATTGGTCCCTGACCAGGTTTCTGGCCTAGCCCAGTACTAACCACACAATTCTCTCCACCCTGGCCGACTTTCACTGTTTCCTAATAGTGATCAGGGCCCAACGAGGGGAATTTCAATGTAGTCTTAGAAATCTACATTTTGTGAAAACTTAGAAATCTAAACTCTGAACTGCAACTTACATGCAGACAGTAAAAAAGAAATTAGAAGCAAACCTTTGCCAAAACTTCCTGACAAGCTTAAAAGTTCAGTCCTCAATAGGAATAAAACCTGGACCAGCTTTCAGGTCACCCTTCTGCCTTGAATTCCCTAAGAGAAAATGTTTTTGAAAAAATGAATTGAACTTCTTACCTGTCCTTATCCTTCAAGACTCATTTGCAAAGCCACCTCTCTCAGAAGCCAGTCACATTACTCAAGCATAATCAGGTGTCTGTCCTGTGTGTCTTCACAGGGTTTTTGGCCCTGTCTCAGCATCTACTGGGGTTTCCTTGCCAACCAGGCCCAGGAGCTCAGTGAGGGCATGATTTCCAATACCCAGAATGGTGCCTGGCGTGCAGCAGACACTCAACACATGGTTGCTGAAAAAGTGAATGCATGCATGCATAAAAATGAATACAGTAAAAGCATTAATTTTTAGCTACGAGCCCAAATTTTGCTTGACTCATTATGACACCTAGTGGTGACTAGCCTCCATTGCAGACCCAACAGAATCCGCATTAAGTGCATTTCCTTTTGTTCCAGCAAAAGCCTTCTGAGTGCCAACTAGGTGCCAGGGACCATGTGAGTGCTGGACACTTAGAGGTGCTGGTCAGTATCTATCCTTGAGGGATTTTAGGCCAGAGGCACCAAGTGCTGCTCACCACCACAGAGAGTCAGTATTGGCATTAATGTTACACCATCGTAGAGACAAATGAAGATGCTGAAGCTCCAATGGCCAGTGACTCAGTGTAGAGATGAGCAGCTTCTGAGGGAAGTGGAAACCCTATTACCTGAGCTACCTTGTAACATCATCCTGTATATCATTCCCCTTGAAACTAATTTGGGTTCCAAGTTTCAGGGTATTGTCCCAATATTATTTCTGGCTTCAGCGAACATTCCTGAAAAGTTAATACCTTAAGCCACCCTGGCTTCCCTTATGCCTCCTCCTATGTGGAGAAAGGATGCTGGGGAAGGAGACTGAGAAAGAGAACCTAGTCCTGCCTTTTAGTCCCTGTTTTCTTCAGCCCTTTTGTCCCTCTACTTCTCCAACCAAGCTTTAAAAAATAAATCCCAACTGGATAACCATTTGGGAAGCAAAAATAGAGTTGGGCTTCTTACTGTAAAATATATATATTTATAATATAATAAATATATATAAACTTGATATCATTTGTCTTTCAATTATGTGAAGGAATAATTTTTAGCTATGGGCCAAAATAATACTTGGCTCATTATGACACCTAGTTTCATCATTAAATAAATAACCTATGGTATATTGATTCTATGGAATACCAGTTAGCCACTAGACATCGAGATGTAATGCTATCTTATTAAAGTATGTCCAGAATATATTGCTAAGCTTTAACAACAACAACAAAAATGTTAGAACTATCTCTAAATTCACAAAAACACTGTGACTTGAAAGGATGTTCATCAAAATGTGAACAGTGCTTTATCTATGTGTATTTAGAATAGTTTACTGTCTTTGTATATTTTTATCTTTTTTTCTTTCTTTTTTTTTTTTTTAGATTTTTTATTTATTTATTTATTTATCTGAGAGAGAGAATGGGAGACAGAGAGCATGAGAGGGGGAGGATCAGAGGGAGAAGCAGACTCCCTGCCGAGCAGGGAGCCCGATGCGGGACTCGATCCCGGGACTCCAGGATCATGACCTGAGCCTGTTGCTTAACCAACTGAGCCACCCAGGTGCCCCTGTCTTTGTATATTTTTAATATTTTATTTGGAAAGCATGCATTGTTTTAAAATCAGAAAAACACGAGCTATTTTCATGAGCAAACAAACAATTAAGCCCTGCCTTTCAAATATGTCCAATACACCTGACTGCTGAGGCAGGAGGTAGATATATAGAAACACATAGGTATATAGATTGATAGATATATAGAAACATTGCCTTGAGAAAAGCTACATTCTGAGTTTCAAGGTGAACTCTATGGTTCTTATTTTCCTTGGGAGTGACAGTACTTTCTAATGCCCCTAACAAGGCCAACGGACAGTAAGAACACTCTGTAACAATATACACTATAAATATTCAAAACATAAAAGCAGTTATCAGTGGAGGCCTTGGGTTTTCCACGTCCCAGGATCTGGTAGAGCTTCTCTGCCTAGAATAGACTCATCCCAAGGCTCACATTTACAGTAAATGTAATTACACTTTAATGGCATTCATCTCATTCTGTCACTTTTTCCATAGCTCCTATTTTTAACCAGCACAATGGGAACATTTGTCCTCTGATTCACTGACGAGTTTGCAGCCCAGGAGTCTGGCTTTTAAAATGACAGTACCCTTAAACCTATCGCTGATTTTTTTAAATGAAATAACAGCCTGTAATTAAAACAATGGAGTGCAGGCAACCTCAGTGGGATAACAATAGCAACTCAGCACCAAATTCAGGTAATGGGCTATATCGGCCACTGTGCTAGAAGGCAGTAAATGGAGAACAAGATTCTGGTCCTGGCTTTGTGGCCTTGAAAGTCACTTGAAAGTCCTGCACCCCAATCCCTATGGAAAGCGGCACTGATTTGTAGATTCCATTAAGCAAGGCCCACCCAGTGGGAGTGATGAACGTCATCCCAGGGCTTTTGCTCTTTTGGAAGAATCCCGGGGGACAGTTCTGCCCACTCAAGCAATGCAGTGGGAACTACCAAAGCTAATGGGGCTGTTGAGGCTCTCCTGTCCCATTATATACCATAAAGAGGTAGAATCTATATCACCTCCCCTTAATTCTGAGCTGGTGAGCAAGAGCTTCAACCAATATGATGTAATGGGAGTGACTCCCTGAGATCTCTGGGGCTAGGTCACAAAAGGCTACATCGCGTCCTTCTAGCTGTCTTTACCTGCTCTTCGGACCCTTCCTCCCAGAACCCAGCTATCAGGATGTGCAAAACCGGGATATGACCAAGACATGAATAGGTGCTCCAGCTGAGCCCAACCTTCAAGCCACCCCCACCTGGCCCCAGACATGTGAGTGAAGAAGCTCCAGCCACCCAAGTCCCTCCCAGCATGAGTCTTCCTCACCGACCAACATTGGGGAACAAAGGCAAGCCGGGACCACCACCATGGTCACGATCCACGGAATTTGTGAGCATAATAAAAGGGTGATTGTTCATGCCACTAGATTTGTGGTATGTTGGTGGGAAGCAGTAGCAATTGGAACTCCATATCCTGATGTATGAGTTCAAGTAATAAACACTTACCTAGTGCTTACTGTGTGTGAGGCCCTGTCCTAAGCAAGATACAAATATTCATTTGTATTATAATATTAACCTTTATAACAGCCCTGTGAGGCCTATAGTATTATTGCCTATATTTTACCCACCTCAAGAAGACACTTGAAAGACACTAGAAAGATACTTTGTCCTGATGAAAGGATAAGTTCATTATGCACCTTTCAGACAGGCCTCATGGTGACTCCTGGTCCTGACCTGATTTTTCACAGGCGCCAGGCAGGGGCTAATTTACATTGCTGCAGCCACGCATGCAGCCAGAGATTGCTTCTTGGAACTGCAAGCCCTTGCTTAGTAGTCATTTTATTTGGGTACACATTGAGTTCCTCAAGTTCTTGTGTGCTTACTCAGCAGGCCTGCTGTCTCCAAAAGAGGACGCTGCATGACAGTGGCATTGGATTTCTTTGCTTCTGTAAACATTTATGTACACCCGCTAGCAAATCCTGATCAATAAAGGATAACGCTTTGTGGTCTTTTAGCAGAAACTCTCTTTCCTAAACTCTACTCCTGCCATTTAAAAGTTTTTCCTAAAACCACGGGGTCAAACTGATTGTATGCCATTAGCTCAGGCAAAACTGTGCAGATGTCTCCTCTACTCTAGGTATCAATCAAAAATGAACAAAACGTTCCCTTTGGTTGATCCTTTCCAAACAAATAAAAGCCCTGGATAAAAAGGACATAATTAGCTTCCCTTGCCCACCTACTGTTCTATTTGCAAACTTAAAAGTAATTGCCAACCACCTTTACAGGCTCTTCTCTCCTCTAACCTCCCTCCCCTTCCACCTCTCTCCTTTTCCATCTTCCCTTCCCTCCTTCCCTCTCTTCCTCTTCACCTCTCTCCCTTCCTTTTTTCTTTCCTTAAACTCTGTGCCTACTGGGTTTGGGGGTAAGAACTATGGGAGGTCACAGCTACCAGTGGACACTGGGAGAAGGCGGGGATCAAGCCTATTTGACATAAGCCACATGCTACAGACTCATTAGAGGCAGATCCTGTACAATTCAGAATTTATTTTGAAGAGACCCCACCCCTACCCCTCCACTATTCACTGACAAGCATACAAACGCATATCCACTGACACTCAAAGTTCATTCTCCCAAGACCTCTCACTGCCAGGAATATCAGCAGCAGGATCTGCTGTGTCAAAGCCGGGAGTGATAAAACAAGAAGCCTGGGAGGGAGTTCTCAAGTTCAGAGAGCTTTCATTCTGCTTCATGTCCTGCTCCTGTTTGATTCTATTTTCTCTCTCATACTCATTCTAACACAATGAAAAACGGAAAATGTGCCTTGAACCCCAGGGATAATCCTACCGTCTCTGAATGCAATCATGAGCTGCTACGAGCTGTACATTATTCTAAAAGAACTCACATTTTAGAATCCCCAAAGAGAAGAGGAATGGCCCAAATGCTACATAGCCCAGTACTATGGCCTGATGTGGCTCAGATCCCCTCTCTTTCCATGTTAATGCCATTCCTGTAGGTTAGACGGTGCATCCATTCAGAGGACTGATGAATAGTCTGAGTCTTCCCCATCAACCAATATGTAGTGGAGACTTTAGGTAGAGAAAAGTCAGTGCAAAAACACAGCATTTCATCCACATGGAGGAGAGCTGTCTTGGAAAGTGATAAATATCACACTGTAAGAATATAAAATCCTCCAGTGCTTTATAATAAGAATTACTTGCTAGGACTCCAAGAAAATAAAGGATAACTTAGAGAGAGAGAGAGAGAGAGAGATGGGTATTTCTTAACATACTAAGAAAATGTAAAAGAGCACAGAAAAAAAGTAGATTATACAAGGAGGATTATGTAACGGTGGAAATGTAAAAGGGAAAAAAATGCCCCAAAGCTGCCCAAATAAGAAGGTTAAAAGATATAATTTCAGATTCTTCCCAAATTGTACTGACAAATTTTACCTTAAGAGTTTCTGGGTCATTTATAATTCCAAGTGTTAGGACCCAGCAATCAGTCTCAAATGAGTGAATTTATCAGGATGCCAAAGTATTGAGGAATGCTTTAAAAAAAAAAAGGATGCTGGTGAGGATGACCATGATGATGTCAATGAGGACTACTACTATTGCTACATGAACATCAATAAAACATCAGCGAACTGTTCTAAGTACTTTATAAAACTTAGTTCATTTAATCCTCATGGTAACCATATTACTTGGATGCTTGTTACATATTAGAAAACCCAAGACACCATGACAAGCCACCAGCTCAGCTACAGGTGGTAATAAAGAAAAAGCTGTCTGCTCCATGAAGATTGGACTTTTGGGGGTAATTTGGAGTCACTGCAGGTTTCAGGGTGCAGTACTCATCCTGACAGAGTCAAAAATATCCTTTGTTGAGTTGACTTAGGGGTAATCACATCTCAAGGATGGATCGGAATCAGCCAACATGATTTCAGATTTAATTACAAACCAGAATACCAATTTATTAAGTTAGAGATTGCTAAACTTCCACTGGTTGATGGCTCAGTAATTTTTTCACTGTGCCCCTAAGAAAAAAAGGAAATATCTAACCATTTCTTTTATTAAGTAGTTAGGGACAAACAACTTAATAAGCATTTATGTTCTAAATACTTTTAGCTACTTGGAAAAATATGAACATTGAACAAAAAATAATACACTTACTTTATTTCTTATTAATGCGATGTGAGTGCCTGTTGGGCTCTGGGCTTTGTCCAACCTTGAAATTTGATCAGACTCTGTCACCCTCATTCCCTGCTCCTTGTTGATTTTTGAGCTATACCTGCTTTTATCACAGCAACTGCCAAACACCCTGCTTTGGAAAGATAGGACATCATCAAAAGGAATGCAGTACAAGCTAATGCTTACTGTGAGCTATTTGAGCTAGTATTTCCTGCAGTGTTTGATAAATTGCGGCATTTCTGTGCTTCCCTTGAAAACAGAATATCCCATTCCTGTGAACTTGCTGTGGGAAACTGGGGCACCTCAGTGCAGTTTGGGAACTGCATTAATCTACACTATGGAAAATAACTGCCAAGTACTGTACTTCTCACATTTTCTTCCAACTAGCCTTGGGAAACCAAAACAGAATCAGAAAGCCTTTGGGACCCAGAGTCAGTATGGGGGATAACCTGAGGCTGCCCAATCTCCTCTTTGGTTACTGCAATTACAGCGGAGTCCAGTACAGTAACAGCCTGCGTTAGTGTGTGTGTATGTGTATTTACTATATACTATTTCCCTTGGATATCTCAAATCCCAGGATAAAACAAAAAGTTGCAAGTTACTTATTCTCTTCTATAACATTTGCTAAAAGGCAAAGGATTGATTTGTTAACTATTACTAACTACAACTTTTTATGAAATATGTATGTATTTTTTAAAGATTTTATTTACTTATTTGAGACAGAGACAGAGAGAGCGAGAGCATGAGCAGGGGGAGGGGCAGAGGGAGACGGACAAGCAGACTCTGTGCTAAGCACGGAGCTGGACATGGGGCTCGATCCCATGACACTGGGATCATGACCTGAGCCAAAATCAACAGTCGGACACTTAACCAATTTAGCCACCCTCCACCTCATGAAATATATATGTATTTTTAAATGTTTCTTTAAAAATTTTTCATCACCTGAGAGAGATACTTACAAAAGCAGTATTGGATTTTAATTGAAAAAACTGTATTCATTTTAATCAGTATGTAAGGAAGAGTAGCAGCATTTTTCCCATGAGGAAGTTTGTATATTCAATATTTTAAATGTCAATAAACAGAAATGAGTTAATGATCTGCTCTCAAACCTAAAAGCTAGAATGGTCAAGTTAAAATAATCCACTGTGAGATATAACAACTTCATTTCACCAATGCTAAGCACATGTTTCCCCTCATTTTTAACATCCCTGAGGTCGGGGTGCCTCTTGCAGTCACTGTTGGCCAGGCAAGTGGCAGCAGTGATCACGTTGCTATTGCTCGCCACCTTCTGGCTGCATCAAGAAGTGCCAGCTCAAACCTAGCAGAACATGGTGTCAGAGCTGGACTCAGGCCATTTTAGGAATGCCATACCCAATGTGTTTTGCTTCTATTTCCCTTTTTATCTATGCAGAAGAGTGATATGTGACAAGAATCTATGTTTGAATGTCTAAGAAAGCTCTTTCAAATATATAAAATAGGACTAACTTCCATGCACGTTCAGACTCATCTTGTACCACCAGCATCCCACCTAAAAGGCACACCAACCGTTGTCTGTCAGCCCAACTTGCCTCCCAGGCATAGACACTTGCTCAGTCCTTGTGCATGCACAGCCCAGAAATGCAGGGGAATTAACTTCTCTAGAAGCAGGCTTCAAGGGGTGAGCAGGATTGAGAGATAAATAACTCAGGCTCCTATCAGTGGGTGAACAACTAGGGGCTTCTTTGAGGTCCTAAAGGGATTGAGTTCCTACTGTCTACCTGCATCACTGACCTGATTCTCAGCCTTATACTGGCCTTTCCCCTTCCTTCTCTCTCTCTCTCAGCTCCTGCCTCCTGAACCCTGGGATCTCCTCTCAAACTCTTCACTCAAATCCTTGGCTCAGGCTCTGCATTTGGGTAGATCCAAACTAAGACCTGTGCTTTTTATTACAGACTATCAAGAAATGAACACCACCTTCCTTACAGTAGTTTCAATTTCCACTTTGCTGTGATTCGTGAGCCACCGTATTTTAAAAAAACAACAACTTTACTTTGGGGTATAGTTTTAGATTTACAGAGAAATTAAGAATATAGTACAGATTTCCCATATAATGCATACCCAGTTTCTCCATTACATATTATATTAGTATGGTACATTTGTCACAATTACCAAATCAATACTGATAATCATTCATAATCATTCATCAAGTACATATTTTATTCAGAATTCTTTTGTTTTTAGCTACTATTCCATTTCTGTTCTAGGAGCCCATCCAGGACACCACATTACATCTAGTAGTACTGTCTTCTTAGGCACCTCTTAGCTGTCACACTTTTTCAGATTTTTTTTTTTTAATGACCTTGATAGTTTCGAGGAGTTCTGGTCAGCTATTTTGTTAGAATCTGCCTCAGTTGGGATTTGTCAGATGTTGTAAAGAAGACCAAAGAAGTAAAGTAGCATTTCCACATCATATCCAGGGTCCATAATAATAAATGACATCACTGTTGACTTTGACTGTGACCACCTGCCTGAGACAGTATTTGTCTCTGTAAGGCTGCTCTTCCCACCCACCTTTCCATATTACAAACTTTGGAAGGCAATCATTACATGCAACCCATGCTTAAGGGTGGAATATCTTAAGTCCAGAGTATCTATATAAATTATTTAGCATTCTGCTTGAGAGATTGTCTCTTCTCCCCCACTTACCTATTCAACCATTTATCAGCATGGACTCATGGATTACTTTATACTTTAGGTTGTAATCCAACATTTACTTTGTTGCTCAAAGGGTTCCAGCTTTAGCCATTAGACCTTTTAATTGGCTCCTTCATCCTTTTGACATATTCTCATCATTGTGGGGTTTGTTTTTTAAGACTTTTTTATTTATTCATTTGAGAGTGCACGAGCGAGAGCGTGAGCAGGGTGAGGGTCAAAGGGAGAGGGAGCAGCAGACTCCCCTCTGAGCAGGGAGCTCAATTCAGGGCTCAATCCCAGGACCTGAGCCAAAGGCAGTGCTTAATCGACTGAGCCACCCAGGCGCCCCCATTTTGTTTTTGTTTTTACCACTTCTTTACTTTCTGGTGCTACAAGATGCTCCAGGCTAATCTTACATATTTTCTGCTCCAGTTTTAGAATCAGCCATTTCTCTAAAAAGCCCTAGTTTCTTTTTGGAGACTGGTATTAGAAACCAGTATCTGAGGGTCAGGTGCGGTCTTTGCTACTGGGGTCATTGCTTTTAGGCCTGGTTAGCTGATGGAGCAATGAAAAAAATGTTTACTAGCCTGTGTATGTTCACTACCTAATATATATAATCATCTGTATCTATATTAAACTAAACAGGAGTTTATACTGATGTCTCCAACTCTAATCCATTACCCCATGGATCATTTTAACCTCCTCTCCTTGCTATCTATAACCTCACACTCTAACAGTGAAACCCGGCTCTCACCATCTGTTATCCATATATTTAATTGTTCAATTCTAGTATATAGTCTAGCAGTATCAGAATTGTTAAACCACACTGCTGTGAGAAAAACTATCAGCTAGAATACAGTGCTTATGCAGAGATACTTCTACCTTTCATCTTACAGACTCATTTCCAAGGTTACGTCAGAACTCTTCCTCGAAACCCCTTCCATTAGGTGGTTTCACACATTTGTAAAATAGTTAGATTGTTTTGTCACATCCTGCATTCCACCCAGGGATCTCCTCTCTAAACAGATACTTTTAAATACGCATACATTAAGACTCACTCTTTGTGCTATAAAGTTTTATGGGCTTTGGCAAATGCATATTTTCATATCTCCACCATTATTATATCGTTCAGAATAGTTTCACTGCTCTAAAAATTCCGTGTGCTTTATCTATTCAACCCTCCTACCCTACCCAATCCTCTGGCAACCTCTGCCCTTTTAGCTGCTCCATAGTTCTGCCTTCTCCAGAATGCCATATAAAGGGAATAACAGAGTATACAGCTTTTTCAGACTGGCTTATTTCACTTAGCATCCATTAGCTCATTTCTTTTTATGGTCATACAACATTCCATTCTGTCAACGTACCACAATTTGTTTATCCACTTATCTATTGATAGACATTTTGGTTGTTTTGGTGATTATAAATAAAGCTGCTAGCAACATTTGTATGCAAGTGTTTGTGTGGATATGTTTCACATCAGTTGGTTAAATAGCTACAGGCATGATTTCTGGATCATATGGTAAGACTAGTAGGAGTATTATCCATTTACATTTATTGTAATTACTGTGTTAGATTTATTTCCAGCATTTTGGACTTCCTACGGTTCTTTTTGTTTTCTTTTTATTCTTTCTTTTGGTCTTTTAACTTAACTGAGGTTGCCCCTCCACCCCACACCCCCCATTACTTTAAAAGTTACATACTCATTTTCTTTTACTGTTACCTTGAATGAAATTTTTTTACATGGTTATCTTTGCCAACCTCCTGAATGCTTAAGTCTAAGAACATCTGAACTCCAATTAAGCCTTCATCTTGTACCCTATTTTGTCCTATTTTTTAGTTCCATCTTGCTCTTAATATCACAAATAAGGCATTATTTGTATTCTTTTAAGTCAATGTTCGTTCAGATTTACCCACATTTTTTTGGTCACCACCCTTTCTTGAACGTCAGACCTTTCATCAGATGGTTGTCCTTCTTTTTTTTTTTTAAGACAGAGAGTGCAGGGGACAGGGAGGGGCAGGCAGAGGGAGAGAGAATCTCAAGCAGAATCTGAGCCGAGCTCAGGGCCCAACATGGGGCTCGATGCCACGATCCTGAGATTGTGACCCGAGCGACTGAGCCGTCCAGGTGCCCCTGCACCTTTCATCTTCTAAACTTCCTTTAGTGAGAGTCTATAGATGACAAACTTACTCATTCTGTCAGAAATTTCATCCTCGTTCCCAAAATATACCTTTGCTGGGTATTAATTCTTGGTTAGTAGTTTTTGTTGTTTTTTCTTAGCCCACTGATGATACTACCAGTCTTTTTTGCTTTCCTTGCTGCTGAGAAGTCAGTAAGCCTTACAGCTACTCTGTCGTGGGTAATAAATACGACTGTTCTGCTTGTACAAATCTGATATTCTGCAATTTTACATATATATAACATATGTAACAATATATATTATTATACATATACACACA